CTGTAAACAATGGGAAACTAAGACGATTGGGGGGGAGAATGCCACTTTTGCCCCCCTCCTGGATCCGCCACTACTACTGCATACCCTGAACAAGAGGGCTGCGCACACCTATGCTTAGGGTCTTAAGAGTTAAGTTTCTAACTGGCCATCGAGTATGGCGACCGAAGCCGGTAGGCGAAGGGAGCCACTTTACTTGATAATTTTGTTATTTAACTCTTAGCTCTGTTTTTACCTTGAAATTTAAGTAAAATCATTTGAATGCAAGAGTACTTCATGAAACACATCACAGAATCTACCTAGTTAATATAATTATAATTATAATCCTAAAAAAAAAAATTAAAACGTCGTAATACGCATGCGGCGCGCGGCGCGCGATAAAAAAAACCTTAAAATCGCATACTTTGAAAGGCAATAACTTTCAAAATAATGGTTTGCACCAACTAATTTTTGCACCATCGTTCTTAACTTATTGAAATACATATGTTTCAATAAAAAAAAATCGAAAAAATCGAAAAAATCGAAAAAATCGAAAAAATCGAAAAAATCGCTTGGTAGCTAAACTGCAATTGTTCCGAAAGCTGTTGTTTAATTTGTAACAGTGCGCCCGCTTAAAGTTTGTTTAAATTTTAACGAGTTTTTTTTTAAGGATTTTTGAAAACTATTCGGCAGAATTATTATTTTTAAGTATGGAGTCATAATTGTAAATTTTGTAATAAAACATTCACACAAAAAAAAAGTTTATATGTACATWGTAGAAAATTTCACGACACCGATATTTTACCAGATAAACCTTTTAAATGTGAATATTGTGACATTCAATCCAACCTCCTTAAATGGTTAAATGCATTATGCCTCCATTTCACCCTCCATTTCGGTTTCGGGTTTAGAAATTTTGAACGGCCATGAAACGATGCTGTGCAGTAATAACCACGCACCGCTTAGTCGGTGTAAACGTGCCGGCGGTCACACTGTTCGTCATCATCAAAAACGTATCACGTGAGATTGATAACTGGGCAAAATGGCCGTCCCCGAGCCGTCGTACCTCGTACAATTGTTAATAATTATTATCGATATTTATTAAAAATTCGCCTTCCGTCGTTATTTCTGGCTTTCTGCGGAGTTCGTTGTAATCGTTGTATCGTTGTCGGGAATAACGACAACGACGGCAAGTAGCAACGTCGAGTGAAAAACGATTGTCTACGCTTCTAGAACAACGACGGTCACCGATCACGCTGCATTCCGTACGTGTCGTTCCGCCAAATCGGGTATTCTCGAAAGCCCGATTTGTGTTTTGGTTTTAGGATATTTTTGGCAGTTTTGCCGGTGTCTACCCATTCGAAATCTGTCGATCGCTTTTCTAGTTCTTGGCTCACGAWATCACGCATGGTTTGCCAACTCGGTTCGCATGCCTACGTACCACAACGTCAGGCTCGTAGCAACAAAAATATGATATTCGCTTTCTGTCTGTGCCTCGAATCTACCGCTAAACCATTCATGGACTGCGACAGGGTCATGCGATAATTCCTCGGCCGATAAAATTACTGTAGAATTATATGCAATTATAAAAAATAATAAATTATTATTTACGATTTATCGACTAAGTTTTGACTTATTTTGTTGCTAATCATAATATCTACTGTACAGACGACATTCATATCTTATCTGTTTTGGATTTTCCRCATTCAAATAATAATTCATGTTATGAAACATTTCTCTTCTATAAATTTGATTTACTAAGTAAAGCAACGAATAACTACATTAATTGAATTTTTTAAGCTGTCATATTTGATATTATGTTATGAATAAATAAATAATATTTCCATTTAATCATATATCGTTTAATGATGCCATCTCCTTTTATAAATTATAAAAGTTTGTCAACCTCCAAGTCACCTCTTTTAATCTTAAATTTTTGATAGATATCACATAACTATTCTATACAAATAAGTTTAAAAAACTTCAAAATGTTTATAAATTATAAATAATAAATGGTTATACCCTATGTACATGGTATGCCAGATTAAATGATTAGAATTATTATAGAGCTTATAAGATCTTCAACATTTACATTGAACTTCATTACCTAATTTTTAAAATTTAATTTATTGGAACTTAAATTTTATTGAGCAAACATTTTTTTTWAACAGAATAATGTCCCAGTTTATAGACTCGGAAGCGGAAGAAAGTGAAGTAAGTATCCAAAATTATTTAAGTTTGTATTGATTTATCTCACATATATTTTTTAAATTAAATATTGTAATGTTTAATCCCCAACAATCCGTGATAATATTAATAAAATACAAATGTATAATATTCTTTTAATTTTTATAGGATGAAGAATTGGATGAGATAAATAAAAAAAAGGCAAAGAGAATTAAGTCTATGCAAAGTGATGATGATGATGATGAAGGTGATTAGGTTTATTACACTATTAATTTTAGATTAGGGTTATAATTAATACTAATGAAAATATAAATTATTTAATTTCTATTATAGATATTTAAAACAACAGAACTAATTAATACTTACTATCAGATATTTAGTTTCTTGCTATATATGTTTACAATATTTACTATTAATAATTATTTATCATATCGATCAAAGAAACTAATTTTAAACTATGGACCTATTATCTAAGATTGTTGTTAAATAACAATACCACAAAACATATATAATACTAATAAAAGGACTCATATCTAAAAGAAAACAAGTGTTTTATGTCTCTTTCTGGTAAAATATTTGTATATTATTATATTATTATTATTAATATTTAGTTGGTAGAATTCAGTAAAAAATAGTTACATACACAAAAAAAAAGTTTTATTCTAATACTAATACCTTTATATTTGGATTGTACTTTGCTTAAACATCCCATAGTACTTGTTTAATTCACTGTTAATCAAATAAAGAGAAAACTAAAACATTTAATTTACTTTATATTATTATTTAAATTAAATTACTTAGGACCAGGACCAAATTGTCTCTTAAGCTGTTTAGGTTATAGATTAGGGTTGAAAATTTTAAAGGTCAATTATGGTTCCCCGTGGGTCTTTTACGTATCACTTATAGAAATAAAATATCAGTAAGTAAAATTTTTCAGTATATGAGCAACAAAAAACCTAAATTTAGCCCTCCTTAGTATAGTTACAAATAAGATAAGGTGGTTTGATGTTCATTATGTAGTATCGTAGTATACAAATATTTTAACCATTAGAATTCTATTTACTTATTATTATTTTTCATTTTTTTATAGACCATTTTGATACTCATTACAAGGTGATTTGTAAGCATGCTCGCCGTATTTTTATGTATATTTAATGTATAATTAATCAAATTTTGTTTTTTGAGATTTAAGTACAAGACCATATTTGAAAATCTGAGATTTTTGTACCACTTAGAATGATCCTGGGAAAATACAAAAAGTAACCCCCTCCCACGTTTAATTTTTAATAATTAAGCTGATATTTTTGTTGAAAATTTTGATATGGGTATGTAAATCAAAATTAAAACTAGTAGTTTTTAAATTATTTAACTCTGTGTACTAAGGATGACTATAACTAGGTCATAATTATTTGATGACCTCAAAATTTAATCATTCGCTAAATAATTTTCAGTAAAAATAGGAGGTTCTCATTCAAAAAATAGAAGTTTGTATCGCCACAAGATACTCCTRAAGTAGTACAAAAAATATGAAGATATGGTCTGTAAAAATATTTCAAATTTCTAAAAACCAGAATTTGAGTAAATGTACTAAAAGGGAAAAATGGGATGATCAATGAGCATGATTACAAAATTATTCTATATATTACTTTCAAACAATCATTTTTAACTAATTAATATTGTGCTATTTTTATTAAAAAATATAAATTATTTTAAGTTAAATCTTTTAGTTTTTAATTTATTTTTAAATGTTCAATGATGACAAATCACTGCGCAAATCTGAAACGTACTCTGTTTCCAAATTCTTATAGAATTTGTTGAGATATTGAGAACGATATGTCTTGAATTTTATCTGAGAAAAAAAAATGTTTTAAGATTGATCTTGAAATATATATATATTTTTTAATATTATTATTATTGATTATCATATAGTAACATATGATATATTATTTTTCAACCAGATGATGAAGAAAAAATTCGTGAAGAATTAAAGGACTTAATTGACGATAATCCAATTGATGAAAGTGATGGTTCTGGTGATGAATCAGATGGTTCGAAAAAGAGAAAAAAATCTGATGATGACTTTGATGATCGATTGGAAGAAGATGATTATGATCTTATTGAAGAAAATCTTGGTGTTAAAGTTGAAAGAAGAGTATGCTTTATTTTTATTTTTGGTACTAGACTACAGTAATATTATAAATGTGTAATTTTTAGAAACGATTCAAAAGACTTAGACGTTTGGAAGATGAAGAAAGTGATGATGAAGGTACTGGTGAAAATGCTACTGAAGATCGAGAAGCTATTGCTAACACTTTATTTGATATGTCTGATAATGTAAGTATTATAATGAAAATATTATATATATTAAGATAAATTTTATAATTTTGTGTGTAAATTAGGAAGAAGAAAGAACAACTGATCGTGTTTCTTCAAGAGCTGAACGGGTTGATACTTATGATGTAGAAGGAGATGAAGAAGGAGAAGGATATTCAGATGAAGATGATGATGGGTTTATTGTAGATGATGAGGGACGGCCAATTAAAGAGAAAAAGAAAAAACGTAAACATATATATCAAGATGCTGCCCTTCAAGAGGCACAAGACATATTTGGTGTTGATTTTGACTATGACGAATTTGAAAAATATGATGATGAGTATGAAGATGATGTGTCTGATGATGACTATTTGGAAGATGAAGAAGATGGCGAGAGAAGGCAAAGGCCAAAACCTCAAAAACGTAGAAAAGCTACTAGAAAATCGATATTTGAAATATACGAACCAATTGAGTTGAAAAGAGGTCATTTTACAGACTTAGACAATCAGGTATGCTACAGCCTCCATTAAATAATTATATAGTTTGGGCTAGGTACAAACATWTTTTTATTTATCTAGATTCGTAATAATGATATACCTGAAAGAATGCAACTACGTGAAGTTCCAGTTACACCTGTACCTGAAGGTTCTGATGAATTAGACGATGAAGCAGACTGGATTTACAAACAAGCATTTTGCAAACCAACTATTACTACACAAGTAAAATTTTATTGATTTATATTACCCTAATGAAAATAAAATTTTGAGGAATATAGAAACTTGCAATATCAAATGTTTGAAAGCAATTAAATAATCTACTACTCATTTATTTCTTGGAAATATATTCTACCTATTTAAGATTAATATGTATCATTTAAATATTTGTAGGAAAACAAAGGTGGTGTTGATCCTCGACTTCAATCCAAGAAAGGACCTCAAACTATCGGAAAAATTAAAAAAGCGTTAGACTTCATGCGGAATCAAAACTTTGAAGTTCCTTTTTTAGCATATTACAGAAAAGAATATGTTGAACCTGAACTTGATATCAATGCTTTATGGAGAGTTTACCATTTCGATGCTAAAGTAAGTTTGTATTTAATTTGTATCACAATAGTAGGTATTACCCTATATTTTAGTATATACTAATGAGAGTCTRTCATTTTTTTTTTTTGTATGAAGTGGTGTCAATTGAAATCTCGCAAAACCATGCTAATTGAATTATTAGAAAAAATGCGAAATTATCAGATGGAAATGTTAATGAAGGATACAAATGCCCCTATGCCAGATCATATTCGCATTATCAAGGATGAAGATATTGATAAATTGCGTGCAGTACAAACAAATGAAGAACTAAAAGATATTCAAGGCCATTTTATGTTGTACTATGCCAATGATGTCCCCGCGATGCAAGAATGTGCTAGAAAAAAATCTAGAGAATCTAAAATAAAAGCTAGAGAACTTAGGGAAGAAAGAAGAAAACTTGCAATAGAGGCTGGTGAAGATGTACCTGATGATGATGAAGATGATGGTAATTTAGACGATGATGATTCAAACGTTGAAACTGTTAAACCCGCAAGTAGTTCGGGACCTTATACTATGTGCCTAAAATCTGGACTTGGTATGTCATTAATAATTGTTTTACAAATGTATAAATCTTATAAATTAATATTTATGTTTCTAGCTGGGTTTGCAAAACGTTTTGGTTTAAAACCGGAACATTTTGCTGCAAATGTCCGTGATAATTATCAAAGGCATGAAGTAGATCAAGAATCTGTAGATCCTTATAAACTTGCCGGCGAATACTGTAATGAGTAAGTATTAATAAGTGTAAATATAATTTATTATCATATATTTTATATATATTTATATATAATATATATAATATATAATATATATGCTTATATTTATACACAACTATTTACAGGTTATTAAAAACCCCTGATGAAGTTTTAAAGGCTGGCAAATATATGGTAGCATGTCAATTATCTCGAGAGCCACTCATAAGGAAATGTTTGCGTGAGACTTTCTTTGATCGAGCTAAAATTAATATTGTACCAACCAAACGAGGAATCAAAGAAATTGATGAAAATCATAATTGTTATTCGTAAATATTATTATATTGTTATTATTTTAGTTAAAATAATTATCTTAGGCTTTACTATTTACTATTTAGTATTTGTTTAATTAAGAGTAATAATTCACTATTCATATTTTGGTGTAGAATGAAGTACATTAGACGTAAACCAGTGAGAGATTTAGTAAGAGATGATTTTTTAAAGTTACAAATGGCAGAAGATGATAAATTGCTTACTATTTCGTTTGATGAAGAAGTAGACGGTCTAGGTTCTCTTCCATATATAGAAGAAGTCAAACAGCTATATATAAGAGTGAGTTATCTATATGTTACAATTATTAATACTCTATATGATTATAAAACAATAAATATATTATTTCATAGGATGAATTTAGCTCAAATGTACAACAATGGAATGACGTGAGACGTGAATGTGTTGATTTAGCTTATAGAAAATTATTAATGCCTGAAATGGTAAAAGAACTCCGACGAAGTCTACTAGCTGAAGCTAAAGAGCATATATTAAAATCTTGCAAACATAAATTATCAAATTGGCTCGCTGTAAATAATTTTAACTAATATTAAAACTTATTGTTTAATAATTATTTAATTTTTGTAGATAGGTCCATATAAACCAGAAGTGGATGAAGATGATGACGACTGGGATACAAGCAAAGGCATTAGAGTTATGGGATTAGCTTATTCGCCTGATCATGAACAGGCATCATTTGCATGTATTTTATCAACTGACGGTGAGGTTGTCGATCATCTACGTTTGCCATATATTATGAAAAGACCGTTCAATGATGATGTAAAAGCTAAAAGAGATGGAGATTTCAATCATATAAAGAACTTTATACTCTTTAAAAAACCCCATGTCATAGTTCTTGGAGCAGAATCTAGAGATGCATTGTGGTTAGTTAGAGATATCAAAGCAGTTGTTGACCAACTAGTAGTTGATGAACAATTTCCTCAAATACAAGTCGAAATTTTAGATAATCATCTAGCTAGAATTTATGCCAATTCTATTAAAGGAGAAGTATGTCCTTTTTTTCAGGCATTTCAATTTAAAATTTTATGGTATTTTAATGTTTCTTTTTTTATTAGAATGAATTCAGAGACTATCCACAACTGTTACGCGAATCCATCTCTTTAGGGCGTAGAATGCAAGATCCTTTAGTTGAATTTTCTCAATTGTGTTCAACAGACGATGAAATATTATGTCTTCGCTATCATCAGTATCAAGTACTTATCTCAATCTATAATTTTTCTTTAAGTTTTAATTATAGTTAAAATTGTTTTCAATGTTTAATAGATTTAAATAGCTTTTATATATCAAGTTTTGAATATGTGTACTATTAAAAGACTGTTTTTTTATATAATAATTATTTCAAATATATTTTTCAATTCACTTAACATATAATTACTTATGTATGTGTAAAATATATTGATATAAAATCTGTTATTTTAATATTTTGTGTTTGTAGGAAGTACTGAATCAAGAAGAATTACTTGAAGGCTTATATCAAGAATTTATAAATCGTACTAATGAAGTAGGTGTTGATATAAACGAAGTGGTTCAACGAGTTTATGCACCCAACCTATTACAATTTGTCTGTGGTTTAGGACCTCGTAAAGCTACTGCATTAATTAAACTAATGAAACAGACAAATCAACGATTAGAAAACCGAACCCAATTAGTTACTGCATGTCATATGGGTCCTAAGATATTTATAAATTGTGCTGGATTTATTAGGATTGATACCAACTCTTTGGGTGATAGTACTGAAGCTTATGTAGAAGTTTTAGATGGATCTAGAGTACATCCAGAAACATATGAATGGGCCAGAAAAATGGCAGTTGATGCTTTAGAGTATGATGATGAAGAAGCAAATCCAGCAGGAGCTCTAGAAGAAATTTTAGATGCACCAGAAAGACTAAAAGATTTAGATTTAGATGCATTTGCTGAAGAATTAGAAAGACAGGTTAACAGTTTTATTATCTTTATTTTCTTATAAATATAAATATTTAATTTTTAAAATAAAATTTTAGGGTTTTGGTAATAAAAGTATCACACTTTATGATATACGCCAAGAGTTAAACCACCGTTATAAAGATATTAGAGTAGCTTATAAACCTCCAAATTCTGCACAATTATTCGAACTACTAACTAAAGAAACCCAGGAAACATTTTTTGTTGGAAAAATGGTTTTAGCTACTGTTGCTGGAATTGCACGTAGAAAACCACAAAATGATCAACTTGACAAAGCAAATCCAGTGAGAAATGATGAAACTGGCTTATGGCAATGTCCATTTTGTTTTAAGAACGACTTCCTTGAATTATCAGATGTATGTTTTTAATTTTATAATCACTTAATTATTATGATCAAATTGTTTTTATTGTTAAAATGTTTAGGTATGGAACCATTTTGATGCTGGTGGTTGCCCTGGTCAAGCATCAGGAATTCGTATAAGATTAGATAATGGTATAAKTGGCTTTATAGCAATGAAAAATTTATCAAATACCCATGTAGCCAACCCCGAAGATCGAGTTCGTTTTAATCAGGCAATACATTGTAGGATTATCAAAATTGAACCAGATAGATTTTCATTTGAAGCTACTTCTAAAAGCTCTGATTTAAAAGATCAAGAACACCATTGGCGTCCCCAGAAAGATCCTTATTATGATCATGAAACTGAAAGCAGACAACGAAAAACTGAGTTAGACAAGAATAAAATAAAAAACGCTCAGACATATATTAAACGTGTAATTGTGCACCCATGTTTCCACAATGTATCTTTTGCAGAAGCTGTTAAATTATTGAATAACTCTGACCAAGGAGATGCTATTATTAGACCATCTAGCAAAGGTGCTGACCATTTAACTGTTACTTGGAAAGTAGCTGATAATGTTTACCAACACATAGACATAACAGAAAAAGGCAAAGTTAATGCTTTTTCATTGGGACGTTCACTTTGGATTGGTACTGAAGAATTTGAAGACCTAGATGAAATTATTGCACGTCATATCACTCCAATGGCAAGCAATGCTAGAGAATTATTACGTTTTAGATATTATCGTGATACAGATGGAGGTAATATTGAAAAAGCCGAGCAAATACTTAGAGAAGAAAAAACTAATAATCCTTCAAAAATCCATTACATTGTATCTGTATCACAGGTATGATAGTTAACAAATTTATTTTTTAAGCTTTCTAGAAATAGTAATATAAATCATATATCATGGCTTGGGCTTAAGAGAACTTTACACCCGTATGTGTTGTCTCTGTCTTACAAACGTATAACAAAGCAAAATCTGTTTAGCGCAGGACAACTTTTCTCCCTCAATATTTATAATAGAATTTTCAAAATTTCACAATGCATAGGTAAGAACTTTATCTGTGTCATAGCGTCGTTATTTTKTTRATWDYACAAACCAATAATTTWAAGTAATTTAATGAAAAAATAAAAAATAAATGTATTTTCTTAAGCTTATAACTTTAATTATATTTATGTTATCAAAAAAATAACGACGCTATGACACAGATAA